GAATAATGGACAATGCCCTCAAGGAACAATCCCCATCATTAACATAAAAATTTACATATAACGGGGGATAACATTGTTTTTTAATCTCTGGCCAATAACACAATGACACGTGAAAATGTTATCATCCGTTTCATTGCATTATTGGTAGTGTCAGTAATCTCAATTCTATGGAGGTAGATGTATAATTAATAACCCCAACCCATTCTTCCTCTTGAGTTACAAGTCATTTACATCTACCTGTTTATTTTAATCCCTAATTTTAACAGAAAATGATATTCATCTACACAAGTAGGTAATTAACTAAAGAAGAAAGTGAGTGATGAGGACATGGCCGATGCCATCATTCCCTACATGCCACATGGCTATATCCATCCATGTAATTAAATTATATTAAATGCTCATTGTCATCCATCCAATATATAATTCTCGACAACAATAGTGTCTTTCGGTGCTAGGCCAATCATACAAGCCAAAATCTGACGTGGCATAAGCAGCATTAGCTGAAGTCGAAGTTCCAAAAGTGCTGTGCTGGGAACTACAAGTTGATAGTTTGCGTGAAAGGAACCCAACGACTTATTTTCCAAGCTGCTTTTCATAGAGTGTCAAAAAGTGTGATAGGAAAACCCTAACCAGCTCATTTACGTTTCTACGCCTGCCAGCTCCTATTTCTGAGAATCAATCAGTGTTCTCTTTCTATTCGCAACAATCACAACAACCAACTCACTGCCAGCTGCTCTTGGGTTTTATGTTTTGGTTAAGTAAGAGCTTACTAGAGACCGTATACCTAAATACAAAATCATTCGACTATCTCCAAAAAGAGTCGTTAATTATAGAGAAATGCTATTGCCAGTTGTTCGTTATAAGGAACTAAAAGACGTTGATAATTATAGACCCTATGATGGTGACCAGTCAGAGCAATTTCAACTTATGAATATTGAATGCATGTAACTGAAGTCATGTACTCGAATGTGCCAATGGTCAATGTTGGGTTTTATTCCACGACTTTGTGTTTTATATAATTAGAACAATAATACTTTATTAACCTTTGTATAATCATATCATCTTTCGCCCTGCAAATTAGGTTTAAATTGACCAGTGTAGGATAGGATGTGATACTAAAAAAAACATAAAAAAAATCTAGGTCTTTATGGTCTTGGGATTGTTTCTTAATATTATATACAAACTTCCTCAAGTTGAGGAGGAAGGTGAAAATTATACATCATCAAATAAAAAATATTAATCTATAAAGATTTATGTAGACAAATAAGGTCTACGGGTTTAGCCTAGTAAAAAAAGACCTTAACTTGCAGGTCAAAAATCTCAGGTTCGAATCCTCATTGCTCATTATATTCTACCTAATTTATATATGAGTTTTTCCTCAGAAATCGCATGTAATTGAGGTAACTGAGCATGTTTTTACCACAATGATTCGGCATCATTTTGACGACTTTTTGTTACCCAAAAGTCCTGGTTTATCCCTTGCCATTATTCTTTGTACATTAATCATGCTCAAAACCAAGGTTCTAACCTTTTTTCCAACTAAAAGTTGAAACAACTACCGCTTGCCTTCCTTTTTATTAATTTTTCTTTTTTGGTCGACAAGATTCACTTTTTTTTCTTTCTAGAAAGACCAACCATTTCTTTTCAATCCATAATAAATAAATAAAACACCAACAATTTCAAGCAGTGAGTAATATTTCATTATCAAATATTGATAGCATGTAATGTTCTCAAACTCTGAATTCAAATTATACATTCAAACAAGAATTCAACTTAATCAACAACATAAATCTTACGTGAATAGAAATAAATAAATTATTGAAACAAATATATTTACGAGCTAGATGCTCACATTGATTTTAGATTTGATGTCTACATTACATACTCAAAAGCATGTAAAGCTAACTAAGGTGGTTGGTGTGAGTGGTTCGGCACTCTCATGCCTTAAGAGAGGTCAGGGATTCGATCCCTGCTCTCGTATGGAGTCACCACTTTGGCCAACACTTTATCCCTTACGGGCCGACCCGGTGTGAGCGGGGATTAGTCTGGGTTGTGGTTAAGGCTTAAAGGTGCCACCCATAGTTGGGGCCCATTCAGAACCACCTCGTGGTTCAGACCCAAAAAAAAAAAAAAAAAGCTTGTAAAGCTCAATTAAATGATTCTCGTGTTAGATTTGAAATTTTCCCACATCAAAAGACATGTGAGAATGCAAGTGCACGTTAAAAAGGTTAATAAATCTTGCAAGAACTTATTATCTGACAAAGTAACTATATATTTCAATTCAATATATTAATGAAATAGATTATAAGTTAATAATATTTATATTTAAGTAACAGATAATATGCTGACATGTCATAAATATATCTCGTCACTGTGCCAGCAGGCATATGTTTGCACACAGCTGTGTCCTAGCAAGCTTGACCACTTTCCCCCCGGGTCACAAGGCTGCTGGACTCGCTTTCGCTTCCATCAAGCAACATTCTGGAAGTGACAAATGGATGCTTAAGGAGGACGCAGACTATATGCCCAAACCTTATATAATATACAATGGAATTTTACTTTCTTTTATTCTTAGTTTGAAAATGTGGGAGGGAAAGGTTAGCCAAAATTCATCAAGGCTATTTGGGGCTTGCTTGAGAAGATGGTTTTGGGTAAGTCCTTGATTTTATTTTCTTGTAGGTTAAAATATGTTTTTATTCCATTAGCTTTCCTTTGTTAATTTTATGCTTCCTAGTTGAGTTAGGGTTTGGTGCCCTACATAAAGGGCCTATTTAATTAGAATTTTATTTTTCAGCTTTTTTTTTTTTTCGTATTAGTAATCGAAATTTTGGAAGTATGCTCGACATAGAGGATTTCAGTTTATCATTTTGTTGGATTTAACGTCTGTTGATTTTTTTATTCATGCTTCCCCCTGATGCGTCAGTCACAACCGATTCTCTCATGAGATACAAAATTATAAGGTATGTAATGAATGCAAAATATCAACAAACCACATATAGTGCTCAAAGTTGATTTTTTTTTTTTGTGTAACAATGGTTTACATATTTAAGATTGTTCCATTATTGCTCCATTCTATAGTGAGCCAGTCGTGGTTCAAACTTCAAAGTAACTTTTTTTCTTCTTCTTTTCCTGCACATATTCGGTGGAAATCTTAGTATAGTTCTCTTTTAGGTGACTAAAGATTCTCTTGACGAGGCAAACTTTAACTTGTACATAGCATAATGGTCAACCACACTATCCCAATTGTGGTGAATAACTACCTTATTGTGCTATGTTCTAACTTATAAGAAAAATACTTTACTTTCCTACTCCGGTTTCACTGTCTTTCCCTTTCTATTTCTCTTCTCATGTCACCAATCACATAAGATAGAAGGA